AAGTGGCAAGATCAAAGAAAGGGATAGCCATCTCCCAATGAAAATACGTGTCGGGCCTATTACAACAAACTAAGATGTTAGGAACTAGACCAGCTATTAGGAACTAGAACAGTTGATACTCCTATAGAAGTCAATCACAAACTTCATGGAGAAATTACTCCAAAATCTCAACCAGTATCAAATAATAGTGGGCAAGCTCATATACCACATTATCACACAACCAGACATCTCTTATGAGGTTAGTCTGCTCAGCCAATTTATGCACGCACTACGTAACTCACATCTTGATGCAATATATCAAATACTAAGATATCTCAAATCTGCTCTAGGGAGAGGGATATTTTTCTGCAATCAAGGGCATTGTGATGTAGGTATTTCCACTGATGTTGATTAGGCAGGATGCCAAACTGACAAGAGATCCACAATTGGCTATTGCACCTTTGTTTTACGAAATCTGGTTTCTTGGACATGCAAGAATTAAAATGTGCTGGCCAGATCAATTGTTAAAGCATAATGCAGAGCTATGGCTCATGGTACATGTGAAGTAATGTGTATTAAATATTTTATCGGATTTTCCCTTGACTTTGTACTAAGACAACAAAGTTGTCATTCATATATCTGAGAATCCTATATTTCATGAAAGGACTAACCACATTGAAGTAGATTGTCACTTCATTAGAGAAAAGGTTGTTGCTAAGATCAATCACACTCCTCATGTGAAGTCTAAAGATAGCAGATATCTTCACTAAAGTTGAAGAACAAGGTAGACTACAAGATATCACAAGCACGCTGGGCATCTATGCACCAGCTTGAGGGGGAGCATTGGAAATACTTAAGCATTGTTATGTTTAAAGGATATAAATGTCTTTTATTTTTGTTTAGGGCTTATATGTCATATCTCATTGTGCATGGGAAGTATTGTAATTAGCTCATTTTATTGATAAAAATATGAGGTACGCACTGGTCATTCTTGACCAACACGCTACTCTCTCTATTTCCCTTCTCTATCTCAGAGTCTCTGTCTTCCTCGTGCCACTGTCTCTCACGCTTCTCTTTCTTCTTCCTTCTCTCTCCCTCGCTTACTAATCTCTAATGTCTTACTTTTCCTTTCCTCCCTTTCCCTTCTTTTAATTTTCCTTAGATTATTTTTAAATATGTTCACAGTTTCCATGGGTTGACTACTTTCCACATGAGGTTTAGCAAGGGTTTCAAGTTGATCATAGCATCTATCATCGATTGCCTAAAGAAGCAGGCATTTGTATGAACTGATGAGGCCGACAAGAATTTCTAATAGATAAAGCATAATATGACTTAGTGCCTTTGTTAGCACTTCCGGACTTTGATAAGGTAGTTTCACAAGTTGGGATTGGTGTAGTGTCAAGTCAAATAGGTCGCCCTATTGCATTCTTCAAGGAGAAGTTAAATGACACCTGATTGCGACCTTATACATATGATGTGGAGTTTTAAGCTATTATTCAAGCCTCAAGGCATTGGCGGCACTATCTAATCTAGAGAGAGTTTTCATGAAGACATGGGATCAGTGTTGGGATGAGTCAGTGGGGATTTTGTCATTCAAAATGGATTTCTCTTCAAAGGAAATAGTTTTGTATAGCCGTAGATTCCCTGGACAAGTTTTTAAAGCAGATCTTCATGGGGAGGTCTTAACAAACCATAGTTGTTGGAAACGCTTGGGAACTCGAATCATTTTAGAAATCGGAATCGCGAAATCACCACCGACTAGAAGATTCATGTCTTAAGAATCGTTGTCCGTACAATAGGAATCACTAGGAACGAGATTCCTAGTTTTTGAGAATGTGTTTCGACCAAAATAATCCAAGTTTCATCTACATATGGAATCGAGATTTCGTCCTAATTGGAATCGAGATTCCCATCGGCCTGGAATTGACACTTCAGGAGTCAAGATTCAAACTGGTATGGATCTTTGGAATCAAGTTTTTGAAGTATATGGATCAAAGATCCATGCCAATTTGAGATTGAGATTTACAATAATATGGATTGTGGAATGCGTTTAACGACCCCTACCAGGAATCGAGATTTCATTTTTATGAGAAGGAAGCCACAAGCACATCTTGAGCTTCATCAACCTTAGAACCTATATTGGATGTCTCTTAATAGAACGTTTCTCGAATTTAAAAGTGATTGTGTTGACTATTGAACTTATGGTCATTATATACAAAAGACAAGTATTCCTAAATTGTGATTTGGACTTCATTATTATAAAGATAAAATAGGATTAGGTCAATGTCATGGTTTGCTTTTAATTGTACGTGTTGTATTTACCAGTTATATTTTAAATTTAAAGTAAAGGCCATCCATAGTGGCATAAGTAAAATAATGAAACCATGCAACCACTAGAAGCATTCGAAGGAATATTTCTACTCCAATTGACATAGAATCAAGATTTAATCCACGCTAGAATCCAGATTCGATATATTTTGGGAACGTCTACCCACAATTAATGGGTTCAAGTTTTCAAAGATGTGTTGGATTGAGATTCCCAAATTAAGGAATCGAGTTTCCGTAGTTCCAATAAATGGTTTTTAAAGATGTGTTGAATCGAGATTCCGAAATTGAGGAATCAAGTTTCCTTGGTTCCGAAAAATGATTTCTAAATACGTATCGAATCGAGATTCTAAAATCAAGGAATCGAGTTTTCTTGGTTCCGAAAAACGGTTTTCGTGGAGATTCCTTAATGGAAACGTGAAATTCGGGTTTCGGAACCGGAAATGCGAGGTCGGTGGAAAGATTTCGGCAACTATGTAACAGACATTGTGGTCGAGACAAATCATAGCTTGGTTGAGTGAAATGTTGGCCGCCACAAGTGAAGAGGAAGTTACGAGGTTTGTTGATAGGTGTCGTACGTGTCAATTGGCTAAAGGGAAACGATAGGATACCGGCTTCATTCTCCACTTCCTATTTCTAATGCACCTTAGGAGGGTGTTAGCATGGATTTTGTGTTGAGTCATTTGGGGGATCAAAAAGAAGTATGGATTCTATATTTGTGGTAGTGGATAGATTCCCAAAGATGGATTATTTTACCCTTGTAAGAAGACCTTGGATGCCACACATATTGCTAATCTATCCTTCAAAAGAGGTGGTGTGGTTGCATCGTGTTTCAAAGATAATAACTTCAAGTCGGGACACTTAATTTCTCAGCCATTTTTTGGAAACTTTGTGGAAGAAATTACGTACTCAATTGCAATTCATTATGCCGATCATTTGCAAACAGATGAGCAAACTGAAGTGGTAAATCACACTCTCAGAAATCTTCTCAGAAGTATTATAAGGGAAGGGAAGAACACTCAGACCTAGCGGTGCCTCAAGCCGAGTCTTGGCTATAACAGTGTTGACAACAAGTATATTGGTATGAATCCTATTGAGGTAGTTTATGGGAAAAGCCCTACCCATTCGCTTGACTTGGCTCGTATTCAGACCAATGGGGAGAGTCATGCTACTATTGAGGAATTTGTTGAGGAGATGAAAGGAGTGAATGAGTAGGTGCCTGCTAATCTAGAAGCTAGTGCAATTAAATATAAAGAAGCAACAGACAAGTGTCTCCATTTCAAGGAGTTTGATGTGGAAGATCGGGTTATGGTGTATCTCAAGAAGGAACAACATCTAGTAGGCAAACACAGCAAGCTGAATGAGTACAAGGCTGGACCATTGAAGATTTTGAAGATGGGCAACAACGCTAACAAGATCACTTTGCCTTGGCATAGGGAGATTCGGATATCTTCAATATTTCTGATTTGTTTGAGTATCATGGGCCAAAGATAAAGGAAGATGAAAGTGCAAACTCAAGGGTGAGTTCTTCTCAACCCATGGAGAATGATGATGTGCAAAGTACATCAAGTGGTCAAATTGATGAGTATCTTTATGGGAGCAGCAGTTTCCTCCTAATTCTCATGCATATTTGGATGATGTGAAACCCTAGGAGGGCTACCAATAAGAACAAGAAGAGCAACCATTGTTGGGGGTGATTTTCTAGTTATTTTAGGGTTATTGTCAGTCCTTTTTAATTGCAGGAGCAGTTGGGACTTTCCAGTATTTTTATCTATTTAGTGCCATTTACTTTAAAAGACACTTAAGTTAGGACCATAAGGGTCAATTTATTATTTGCATAGACAATTCTTGTCTTCTGAACATTAAAAAGAATATAAAAGATGTGCATAGATTCCTGAAGGCTCATTCACGTGGCTATTTCCAGAAAAAATGAAGGAAAAATCCCAGGTTTTTTAAACCCCAGCTGGGTGAGGGAAGAAACTCTATCGCTTGTGTTTGGCTTGAATTACTGGTTTCTTTCGGTTCTCTTTCAATTTTCCTACATCATTCTTCCAAAAGGTTAAAGAAAATTACAAAACTCCAAGTAAACAAAGAAACATAACAAAGGGTAATGCTAGCCCTCGAGCCAACTGTGACCAAGAAATGTAGAAAGCACGTATGGCAGGCACAGGCTAAGGTAGCATGGGGAGTGGGCACCCCTACCCTAGCACCTGCTATAAATGAAGCCACCAAAGGATGAGTTGAGCATAAGCAAGCTTATACCAAAAGTTATGATAATTAAAAGACCCCCATCATTTCAAAACAAAATGGAACTAGTATGTAGCAATATTCCAAAAAACGTCGGGCAGTGCCTAGGCTCCCACAAGGGGGGACGGGGGGGTCGGGGTCTAGGATGCCCAGGTTAGTTCAAAAGGGGGCAACGGGTCTCCAGTAATTGTTTTTATAATCCAAACAAACAAAAAAACACCAAAAATACCCCATCTAATGGGTACTTTTGCACCTAGGCTGGTCGCTCGCCTAGGGTCCCTAAGAGGGCGCCCCGGGACAACCCTCCTAGTTGCTCTGCATCGCCCAAGCCCCTTAGCCCCCTAGGCGGCCGCCTAGGAGCTGGGCAGACAACTTTTTGAATCAATAGTACATAGTGAACAATTTGCAAATAAAATCACATTTTGAATAGAGAAGGTAGCAAGTCCAACCTGTGAGGAGATCAGCTGGCAGAGATCAGAATTTGGGGCTTTTGTTTTAGCTATATTTGCGAGAATAATAGGAAATAGGAGTTCAGCAACTTCAGCCTTTAGTAATGCTACATCCCGACATAATCTGCACATGGCAGATACAGACTATCAATTCAAACCAGCCACAAAGCTTGAGCAAACAACATAGGACAGATTTTTCAACTAAAAGAAAATGACTCATAGGTAAGAGCATGGTACCGCAAAACTATGTCATTCGCATGATAAATAAGAGAGTATACAAGCGGACAGATCCACTGCTCGTATGTTTTACCATGTGGCTGCCAAAGAGAAGGTTCTTGCAATGGAGTTGCTGTCATTTGAAGCAAAGAATAGATGAAATCAATTTCACTATGATTTTGGAGCTACTTTAAAAGATCAACACATTGATTGAACACAACAAAATAATAGAAATCCACTCACTCTGGAATGCATGCTAGTCATTGTACAAATTAGTTAAGAAACCAAAAATGGCATATGATAAATAGTACCATAGAAAAAAAGCACTTCAATAAGAAATAAATATTTTATATATTATTTTGTCAAAACAATGCATAAAAATAGGTTATTTCCTTGGAAGAATATGACGAGTATGTTCCGTCATGAGTCAACATAATTTACAAACATAAGAACCCAGGTGCCACTAATAAGCAAGAGTAGAACGCACCAATTTGCAAAATATGAAAGCAAAAACCTAACCAAAACAAACCTAACAGTCAAAAAACAATTTTTACATACAATGGAATAATGACAAGTTAGAGGAGTCAAATACATTGATTTTACTATAATGGAATGACAATAGTATATACCCATCTTCACCAAGGAGAAGGTAGCCATCAACAAGCATTTCGCAAACCCTATAGGTCCTCCATTATAATGGATCGACCTCCAACACATTCCATATGACAGCGACCGCAACAACCAAAAAGTAAATCTGAAATAAAACCTAGGTTGCCCCGTACCGTCTTGAGGATCAATCCTAGCAAGACTGCCAATAGAACCAAAGCCAAGCACAAAATATAGCAGCGGCCGTGATTTATGATACAAAAAAAATGACACAAGAATCAAATTACCAACAGCATTAGGAGGATACTGTTGGTGATAAATATATAGGAATAATTCTTCCCAAAATTTAATCAAGCCCACCAACAGAACTATGCAGTCCTCAATGCCCAGTAACAAAATAGAATCTCACTATCCTTTTAAAGTTCACTGTAAGCATCTAAAGTGATACTGGCAAATAATACCCAAAAAATCCATTTTTTCCCCTTATTCAAGCACAAAACAACATAGATGGTTATCAGCAAATCATGATCCAGTTCTCTTACATGAAATTACAACTCAATATAAGTTTTAGTTTGATAAACACACACACACACAGAGTTTTACAATGGGTAAATTAAAAGAAAATACTAAATTTTATAGCTGGTTTAGAAAATGTACTCAGTGTCAAAAAAATAATTATACCAATAACATAAAAGCATATAGAAGTTCACAACCCATGCATAGACACCAAGTACTACACGAATAAACACGAAACAAAGCTGTAAAGCATACCATTCGCCGTAGCTTCCATATCATGTAGTAGTTTCTCAACACGCTTCAAATTCACTCCTTTCGAATGGACCTACAATGCTAAAATGAGAGGTGACATAAAAGGAAAACCTTCTAAAAGAAACTATCACATCACTCACAAGAACTAATAAATGAACAAGAGAAACCAACTAATAAGAAGCCATCATCCAAATGATGCATTAACCAAGTTTACAATCCAGCTCACCTTAAGAAAGGATCTATCAGAAGAGTCCAACAACAACAACGCACTTTGCCCCGTTCTAGTCAAAAGGATCCCCTATAGTAATATGAGAGAAACCCATAAGACGGGTAGAGCTTTAGGTCAGAGGTTCACCAATCAAAAATATTGTACATGAAGTGATATATAGTTCGCGGCCAGATTCTTTTCTCTTTATTTTGATAAATGTTTAGTCCAAGGGCCTATCTTTACCATTACAGTTTCCTAATCAATATCCACAAGCATTAAGCATTGATCTAGCACTATTCATTCAGTCAACAGCAGAAAGAAGCCACAAGTACATCACAAATCTTTTTAAGGAATTTATAAGCAACAACACCATGATATAGTATTTTATGAACAAGGAACTGTATTAAAATAGAATCAACCAAGGACTTGGCCCTGGCCTCAGCCGAATAACTTTGGCCAAGTCCAAGTGGACTCCGCCGAGTAGTGTACAGGCCCAAAAGGCCATAAAATAATCACGAAAAAGTTCTTCAAAAGATAAAATACAATTTGTAAAAGTGAAACAAAACAAAGACAACATAAAAATTCCAAAAAAGAGCTAAAAAAATTAATAAAACACAGATTTAGAAAGAATTCATTTATGGTTAGAGAGATTTCAGAAAAATCCAAAAAAAAAAAAATATACAATAAAATTAGGGCATATAACAAGAAGAACTCATAATTCATGGTAGAAAATATCCAAAATTATATTATAATCTTTATACATTGATTCCACATCTTTATATTCCAAATGTGTATTTTTATTTTTAAAGGCCTGAGTTGCACCCAAGTACTTGGCTTGGCAAGGAGACAAGTCCAAGTGAACTCGGCCAAGTTTTCAATAACGTAATGAACATTGAAGCATCCAACATAAAATTAAGTTGAATTCACATCAAAAGATTTAGAGTAATCAAAATATTAAAGAGATCATGAAAGGTACGTGAAGTGCTCGCGCTGTCTTGTCAACTATTGTGACAGATTCATCCAGAAGATATTTCTTAAACATTTTAAGAAGTGTAGCCACTAGTTCTTCTGAAACACCAATGCCAACACCAAAGTTGGTTTCCCTGTCAGACCGTACGATAAGCCGAGAAAAGGGAAGCTTTTGATCAAAATCTCCAGGCAAACGGACAACCACACGATGAGGATCCCCCACACCAACCTGTAAATAGGAAAATAAGAACATAAGAATCATGCCACGAGCTATCAACGTTACACTGCTCCAATCTCTTCAAAAATTAAAACAAAATCACAAGTATTAGAAAACAGACTGATATACACGAGAAGATCAACAATTGTTCTTTCTTTCTGAGATGCATACCCTAGATACAAAATCCGCCACCATGCCTCTCAAATTGATTCCATCATCTGAAGCACACATGTCAACCAACTTCCAGACTGCAGAAACAATCTCAGGCTCACAATTCCAGCTTTCAAGCATGGAATAATTATCATTAGAGTTCTCTTGTGATTGGAATAACTCCTTTGAAAGCAACTTCCTATGAAATATCTGAAGACTGCAGACAACATAATAAATCAATCATCAACCACAACCAACCAAGGTGAAGAGGCAACAATGTGCACTGAATTCTCATAAACGTTTTCCCTAAGGAGGTATGGTAAACCAGAGAAGAACCTTTGTAGGCGTAACTTCAGAGGAAGATAACACGATCTCTTCACAAACTGAAACAGGAAAACAAGTACAATAGCGAAAGATGTTAGAGGTCCTACGAAAACGTACTATCCACTGCAGGGTGAACCAGCATTAGAAAACTCAATAAGTCCAACTAGACTCACCCAAATTATTCATGTTAGATAGACTGCACAAAGAGGAAACCCCCTGACTCCCCTGAGGAGGTACTCTTCCAGAAATCGCCCGAGTTACTATAGTAACACAGTTGAGTTTATGCAAACAAGCGAGTTCTTGGCAGACTTACCAAGTTTGTCGAGATTTTCCATTTTTGATAGCGAAACATGGTTAAAAGGGGGGAAATTTCGAACCCCCTATTCACCATTTCCCTTCAACCAAGCCCCTATTTGGTAAGAAATTTGAAATTTAATGTTTTTGCATCCTGTGGCTACTAAAAATATCATATTCAAGAAAAAAAAAAGTCGGAAAGTTCCTATTTCCAATATTATGTTTTTTGAATTAGGGTACAATGAAAGTTCAAAAAACTTCTAATTGCTTCACAACCCTAACACGATCTTGGTTGAAATTCAACTCCACAGCCAATTTTTTCGTTTTCTATTGAATTGTAGGCTTCATTTTCACAAAAAGACAGTCAGAGTCATGGACCTATGAAATTTTAAACATTGAAACATTATTTGACCTAAAATCTCTCAAGCTCAAACACCGAATCTAGTTTAGGTTTTCTAATTTTAGGTACTTGAAGACCCTTTCAAAAAGAACGCATTGATTCACACAAAACGCAAAGATTGGAGCGTAGGCTTTGAAATTTTGTGTATCGATTTTCAATTTCAATTCATATAAACGATTTCTTTTAGTCAACATCACTAGTTTTAGTTGCACTTTAGTTACATATTGAATTTTTGTTGCATTCTATCAAAAAAAATGAATGGGATTCAATTTTTTTCTTTTTTTCATGTCCACAGATACTTTTGAAATGTATACAGAGACAATTTTATGTTTTCACAATTTAGATTTTTTTTTAAGCCTCAAACACGCTTGCAATGTTTAGAAAGTAGTATTTTCTCCTACAAAAAATAGTAAATTGACCTTTTTTTCAAATTTTGATGCATAAGTAATGTATCTATAGGAGTAATAACATAATGTTGATTCTAGGTTCTTTTTTTAATTTACTGTTGCTGACAGGATATTTTCCAAGGTTTTTAACACCACTGTACACTTGGATTGTCTCCAAACTACATTTGTGCTCGAGAAAAAAAGAAAAAAACATAATTTAGTATACAAGAATATGGTGGTTAATTCTCTCTCTTCATTTCCCTCTCTCTCACCACTACTCATTTTACTCTTTTTTTCATCCATCAATGCTCCTTTTCAAACATTTCTCACCACACTTAAAAAACTTAAAATCACAAAACCAGCAAAATCCCGACAATCCACGAACATGCCCCACAATCTCTCTGCAACTCCACCCCTTCATCCATGGCCGCCATGAACCTAACCCCATTCTTAATCCAACCCCTATTCCTCCTCTCTCTGAGATGACATCTACTTCCTCACCCACTCGCTCTTTCTCCTTTAATGGCTCCAATTCTATGTACAAAAACCCTAACTTCTACAACTACAAACACTCCCCTCTCCTCATCCACTTCACCAGAGCTCTCCAAAACACGAACGGCCTCCGCCCCCTCCCCATTCTCCGACCAACTCGTTGGAGTCTGCCACCAATCGTCAGAATCTCACAATTTGCAAAGGATTCCGACCATGAAAAGCTCAACCAAACACTGAAGTCTCAGATGCAAATGATTCACAGAAATGGCTTGAGCCTTCAATATCTCTTCGTAAACGGCCTCAGCAATCACTGTTTGCATAGCCATGGTCGCACTTTTCTGTGCTCTTCTCATGAAATCGTTGGGGCAAGGAATGGCCTGGGTTTTATCGTACATAACCTTGCTCTCTGGTTTCTACATGGCTTGGAACATAGGGGCAAACGATGTAGCAAACGCCATGGGAACAAGTGTAGGGAGTGGAGCTTTAAGCTTGAGGCAAGCAGTGGTTACAGCCACTATTCTCGAGTTCTCTGGAGCTTTGTTAATGGGGACTCACATTACAAGCACCATGCAAAAGGGAATTTTGGTGGCCTCCATGTTTAATAGAAAGGCGTCGCTTCTTTTTGCTGGGCTTCTCTCTTCTCTCACAGCTGCCGGAACTTGGTTGCAAGTTGCTTCATATTTCGGTTGGCCAGTCTCCACCACGCACTGCATAGTGGGAGCCATGGTGGGTTTTGGTCTTGTCTATGGAGGAGTGAGTGGTGTCATCTTTGCAGCCCTCCCCCTAAGGAAGTCCCTTCCCATCGCAATATGCCAATCCCTCGGATGTGCTATCATCGGTACATTCCTCATAAGTCGAGTAATCCACAAACAACTCGGCCATCTCCTTCTCAAACCTGAATCCTCCCAACCTGACCACAGAAACTCCCCTCAAAATCTTGGCTTTCTCTCAGATGTTGCTGGCCCAAAAGGACCTCAACTAGAGATAATCTACGGGGTCTTTGGCTACATGCAAGTACTCTCAGCTTGCTTCATGTCTTTTGCTCATGGTGGAAACAATGTTTCCAATGCAATTGGGCCTCTGGCCGCCGCTCTCTCTATACTCCAAGGTGGGAACAGGCGCGGAAATTGTGATCCCGAATGATATGCTAGCTTGGGGTGCGTTTGGGATAGTGGCCTGTTTAATGATGTGGGGTTATAGAGTGATGGCTACAATAGGAAAGAAGATAACTGAGTTGACTCCTTCAAGGGGTTTTGCTGCTGAATGTGTTGTGATTGTGGCCTCAAAGTTGGGTTTGCCTATATCAGCCACACACATGCTTGTTGGCACGGTAATGGGGGTTGGATTTGCTCGTGGACTTAATAGTGTGAGGGCCGAAACAGTGCGTGAGATTGTGGCCTCTTGGGCGAACACAATACCAGTTGGAGCGGTGCTTGCTGTTGTGTACACTTCGCTCCTCACTAAGCTTCTTTCATCTGTCTTCTGATTTAGCTTCTTTCATTGCTCATCTGAAGGGTTCAGATATGTGCAGGTGGTTCATTCTGGAATGGCTATTGTGGATTATTATGCTCATGAAGCCATTGGCAGCATCCCCGAGACACAAATTATATATTACTTCTGAGGCTTCCATTATCTTGCTTGAATCTATCCGGGTCGATGTCCCCAAATGTTGTCCAGGAATTCAGAAAAAAAAAATTGTTGAGGTTCACTACTTGTGGACTGCTCCATCCATTCCCTTTCTTTTATTTTCCCTTTTGTTTTGATTTGGATAGAGTAATAGATTTTACCTTTGTAATTTATATCTGTGGAAGAAAGAAAGTTTACATTCCCTTCAAAAAAAGAATATGGTGGTTGGCTTTTTATACCTTTTACATAAATGGTTTTGTACAATGTTGACAAAAAAGGGGCAGGCCAACCATCCAATATCGCAGCATGATCTAGGATGGATAGGGTTACAAGAAGGATGAGGTGCACTTACTGTGGAAAGGAGATGTCATGTAGTACTAATTGCCAAAAAAATACTATGGTAAGATGTGCCACTGTGCCTGTGCAAGCGAAGCAACAGATGAAGCAATCTATCCTGGCAGCAACGGAAAGAAGGTGCAAAGATAGAGGATGAATAAGGAGTAAGGGAGGGCATTATGCACCTTCTTGTAGGAAGAGGGAGATCTCAAGGTGCAATTTGAGTGTGTATGGAAGTTTCGCCTAGAAACATGTATGTAGACAGTTGGGAGCTGGAAACAGTCATTCAGTGACTCCCAAACTAGTACTGGCATGGGGTGTTGTGCGCCAGGAATCCCATGACCCTTCAGGTCTTCCACCTTGTTCAAAGGCAAAGGCCTACTACTTCCCAGGCTTCCCAACCCCAGGCTACACAACCCAATATGCAGTCTTCAAAATCTACTTATCCTACTCAGGGTCGAATAGACCCATTTCGTTCCAAGCCCGAACCACAGGCAAAGACCCTTAAGCCCACGTGGAGGAAGGAAGTCAAAAAGAAAATACAAAAGACAATCGCATGTTGGTTCTATACACTGCGATCCCATCCAAAGCAGCAAATAGTAAATGTTTTTTTTTGAGAGAAGGTTGACTTTACAAATGTTATCAACCAAGTATATCCACTATGACACATGTATTGTCAGGTTCAAGGGTCTAGCTGCACATGAGCTTCCAAACACTTGCCTGGATGACGTGATGGGGACGTAGAACTATTTTTTTATGAGTATAAGGGCAGGTGGCGAGGGACTGGGTTATTATAATGTCACATCACAGGAAGGATGGGAAAGGAAGGATAACTTTGGTGTACTTTTCAAGACGGACAGTCTTCCACTTCCAACAAACTCAAACGTAGAAAGCTTTTGTTTAGGATGCTCGATGATGTAGTGGACGCAACTGGGGACGAGAATGCAGTTTAGGTGATTACAGGCAATGCAAAAACTATCGAGTAGAGAAATTGTTTATGAGGGAGGGAAGGCATTTTGTTTGGTACACCTCGGGTTAGAAGCAATCTATGAACTAAAACAAGTGAAAGCTTGGGTTGAGAAAGGGAAGACTACAACAAAATGCATATTCAATTAATCAAACTTAATGAGGCTACATTATGGAAGGGAGCTCATAGGTCCAGACTTCCAGTTATCCCTAGAGTTGTGACCATTTACTTGACTATGCAGTCACAACTGAGGTCAAAATCGGACTGAAGAAGATGGTAGCATCCGATGAATGGGTTTCTGCACCTACGCTAGAAGAGAAGTCAAATAACTCATCAATAACCACAAGTTTTGGGATAAGTGCCTGCAAATTGTTGCTACCAAAGCCCCACCAGCAGTAATACTCAAGTTGGTTGATTCAGATGTGAACTTCCAATTTCAAGTTTCAATATACATTTACATCTTAATTTGCTATTTATGTGCCTCGTGGGTCGTGGCCTATTTGACCCAAAAATTGATATCAATGTGTTCAAGTTTCTTCTTTAACATGGCATAACACTATCAATCAGGCCACACTATCAATCAGGCCAGAGTAAGCAATCTAAAATCATGGGAGGGGCGAAGCTTTGCGTTGGAAGAATAGAGCAAATGAGGATGCGCAAATTGAAACCTTGAATGAGGTAGACGTCTATTTAAAATGTGAACCAATGGTGATCTTGGGTTATTGTAGTTTGCAAATTCAAATTATGTATCTTATTCTTTTAGCTTGCTTTATATATGTCAAAACTCGCAAGAAGAAGTCTCACACAACTATTCTGAGATTAGCTTTAAATTTCCAAAAGTCGTAACTCATTACTTATATAGTATGATAGAAGTAGTCTGTGGGATTGTACGCATATTTGACTAACTCCCCTTTTTTCAGTGACACCACTCACTTACAAAAGATCACAATCATGAGTCTTATCCAAACTTGTTCTGCCATGGATTGAGAGAGAATGTGGAGTGCATTCCAGTGGATCTAAACACCAAAAGGACGAACAGGTTGAAAACTAAGAGGATTCACAAGCTTGTTTATGTGCATTAAGAGGATTCACAAGCTTGCTTATGTGCATAAAAATATTAGTCTAAAGAACAGAGAACAGAGGAGGCAAGTAAAGGATTACAATCCAATCAATCTAGACCACATATTTGACAATCCTGCATCGGAATAGCTAATGAAGCAAGATAAACCAGTCATCAACAACAGTGTGCTAGAAGAACAAGCTGGTCTACAGAAGGAGCTTGGAAGCGGGGTATGGAGGCGACTCAACACGAGGAACAACCAGACTGTCACTCAACACCATATATGGTTGTTGTATATGATTAACTCAATCTTTAGTCTTCAATATGAATATTGGAACTTGGGAAAGGGATGCGACTCGTTTCAATTTGCACTAAAAAATCAGGCATTATAGATTCATTAATATTACATTAGATTACCAGACAATTTCAGCTAGTGCATGCCAATAAAATAATCTTTTCATCATTTTTCATTTCATATATAGGTCATCTGAATCATGTTTTCCATTTTTTTTTTTTATCTTCTGCATTTATTATATTTTTTCCAGTTTTTTGGGGCCTCTTTATGGGCAACACACCCAACTTGGATTGGGATATAAGAGTCCACTCTCAGTGCTTGCCTCGAGCTTACTTGCTCCAGGTCCATGCAAGTCCCCAAGAAAATGTGAGTTTTTTACAGCGTTACCTCGACACGAGTTTTTTCACAAGTCGGCACATGTCAACACCTCCCAATACCAATTATTGTTTTTTTTTTGGGGGGGGACTGAAACTAAAACCCCCATATTCAAAACTGCACACTTTCAGTGTGAGGTCAAAATGTCTACTGCATCTAACCTCACACACTTTTGTACACTTGGAGTAGTTTTATTAAATAATAATAGAAAAAATTATGTAATATATAAAAGAATGCAAAACCTTATCGCATGAGTCTCAACCTCGGGACCCATCATTCAGAGAGCAGTAAGAGCTACCACAGTATGATTACAGAGGTCACGGGAAATGCTAAAATTTTGCAAATTTCATTATACAACTACAACAAGTAATATAAAATGATTTCCGTATGGACATGTCTTGCAGTGTCCAGATTTTTTTGGGGAAGAAGAAGGTGAACTATTAAAATAATACACTAAGGTAAACTATTAAAATAATACACTAAGTAAGAAGGCATATTCACCATCAAAAATTGACCTTCTTACTTACCATAAAAAATTGATCTCTAGGAGTCAGTCCCTTACAAATCGCATGATGAAAACTCCGGACTTTCTCAAAGCATTCCAGTTCTGGAAAAGGTTCCAACACCTGGCAATCACACGATTCAACACTACAAGCCAATTGCATTTAACACAAAAATCGAGATTTACAAAAACATAAAATGGGGTCAGAATATGCCTACTCTTATGTGTTCATAAAGGGAAGGGTCGGCATCCACTGTAAGCTGATAGATCAAAGATAAAATTCGTGAAGACTTTTCCTGAAAATGTTTTCCATCTTGTTCCGGGGGAATGCAACAGACTACCAACTTTGAAACCAAAAACTGCAATATTGGGTCAAATGCTGAGTAGGACATCCACGAAAACAAAATTCCACTAGACAAATACATATGTAAGATATCAAATGAATTGCCAGTAAAACACCTGAAGTTGTTCACTAAGTGCACTGATAGCATCCTTCGAGGGATTACTTTTAAATATTTCAATCAGCGAAGAAAGTAAGAAACAGCACTGTTCTTGCAACATACTGCAACTGATGAACTGACCAAGTAGATTGAAAAGATAACTGTAGCAAATTCAAGAACAATATCAGAGACTGGAAACACAAGTAACTCAGATGTGAAAGGCAGATAACAGTTTACACTTTGCAGCAATTCATGAAAGAATATCATTATAATCAGCTTATATCACTAGTTAACAAGATGCATAGTAAAATGCTTGCAATTCATAAATAATATCATTATAATCAGGTTTTATCACTAGATAACAAGATGGATAGTAAAATGCATAAACTTACCAAGAAGTGGTAGAAATTGCAGCCCTGGACCCAATAATATTCATAAGCACCTCAATACTAGACAATGCACGAACCTTATGCCTTGGATGAAGTGCAGAAGTCAACTGATAATGTATCCCAACAAGAAACTACATACACAATGAAAAATGCAAAACATAAAAAATTGATGAGCAACACACAGCAGCGAAATCCAAAAGACAGGAGGAGGGAGGAAAAAAGAAATCTAATATGGACAAACTAATTAATGACTAGCAAAACACCAATAAAATATCACCTGGAAAACTCTATCAGGACGGAAAATCTTGACGTCATCAATGAGACCAGCATTATCAGGGCAACCATCTCTGAAAGCATACAAAAGTCAGTGACAAAACTGATCAACACAAGCAAGATTGATCACAATTATAAAGTTAATGACAACGAAGTGAAGTTCTGAAGCAACCATATTATCTAGATATGGAAAATATGGAATGGAACATCAAGATATAATATCGCCAATCACAGTACATATATATAGCAGGGAAAAGCAGGAATATTATACGTGTCCAAAAGCCCATCAATAATTGTCCTTATTGCAACCACTATAGTATCCTTTGGAAAGTAGGGTGCATCCGGGTGGGAAGTAGAGGAGGTAAGTGAAAGGAGGCAACCGACAATGGCAACCTGAAAATACAAAAAAAAACAACTGCAATGTTACACCATGCCCTTGTCTGGCATTTCTGAGACATGTAACTGAAAAACACCCAACAAAGGACAGAGTACACAGATTGGAATTAACTTCGGCTAATGCGATCCTAAAATGGAAAAAAAAACAAATTTATGTTTGAATAAATAACACAAGGAAATACAAAATCAAGCATGACAACTGATGCCATGACACTGGTAAGGAAACGACGCATTACTAGGCACATAATTGTGAAGTCGCTAGATATCTTCCTTTTAATCAAGCACCTTTAACAACGCTAGCATATTAAATGCTGTGGCGACCATCAGGAAACCACACAATAAGGATTAACGTCGTGCAGTCAACAAAAAGGAATCTCATCAATTATGAAAATAGAAATACATAGAATGAGCAAGAGAGATTCTAGCTCAGAGGTCACCACCAAAGATTTGTTCGATTGAGACAGATTATTATTTCATTAAAATGGATAGGAGCAGCATATGTGCTATATATAAATGTAAATGAATAATTACAAAGAAGCACCTGCATACATTGAGAAACATATGTAAATCACAAGTACACAAAACCACACAACAAATAATAATATAACCGCAAGTCAGCTCAGGCAGGCTTGCCTGAGTTCTACAGTACTTGGGCAAATGCATACAGTACTTGCCTGAATACTGTACACTGATTCTTTGTAACTAAAGGGAAGCAGAATTCTGCCCACCATTTCCCATTTTCTTTGCAATAGAAGCCCCAAATCCCCTCTTTTGAAGCAAAAATTTAGATTATACCAGAAAATTACTAGATCTACACATTGGAAGCATTGAATTGAGAAAAACCCATTTGTTTTCTCACATTCTATAGGTCGAAGAAATGGGATTTTTCGGCCGATTTTGAAAAACTTAAGTTTCTTCAATCCGATGGTCTATAGTTGACTAAAATCGAACTCTAGGTGTATCTTTGTGCTCTTGATCCAACCATAGGCTAGCTCTACCACAAAAAAAAAAAGGATATTATAGATTTTAAATTTGGATTTTCTAATATTCCCAAAATATTAAAGGCTTGGATCTCCTAGACCTGAAGTTCACCAAATCATCAAAGCGCTTTTCCCAACTAGTTTGGGTCGGCTACATGAATCCCGATCCGATCATACATTCCAGATTCATAAGAAGTTTTGACAAAGTTTTAGATTGACTGCCTACCTAACACAACCCATTTTTACCCGGGCTTGGGACGGGATAAGGGAAATTTTAAGGTCATCACCTTAGACCATTCTAGACCTTAAGTTAGAACCCAAAATTTGATCTGGTATTTCATTGGGGCTGCATAAAGCAGGTTTGGCAAGGATTTGAAGTCTCAATTCACACTAAGAACAAAGATCAGCAAATCTGCCTCAAAACATCGCGTATGTTACATATGATTCAATTTAAATTCATCTATTGAATTTTTTTTACTAATTCAAAGTATAATTAATTTGTTATATATATATTCACACTAAGCACAAAGATCGGCAAATCTGCCTCAAAACATCGAGTATGTTACATATTTATCAATTTAAATTCATCTATTGAATTTTTTTTAATAATTCAAGTATAATTAATTTGTTATATACAG